TCTTGTCTCCTCCCAAATCCAAAAGTAGCGTGAGGCCCGAGTTCATACTTTTATGGTTTTATCTTTGCAGTACTCATCCTGGGCTTGCTTAATCATTTTTTTTTTTTGCTGTTCCTCTATGTATAACTGCAGCAAGTGTAATAAAACCACTATTCATCAGCAAGAGATTAAGGACATAGAGGGCTGCGTTTTTAGAGCGTTGGCACAATCGGCGCAGCTGCAGAAAATTACAGGTATGGCAGCTTTCTCTACCATACGCTGTGCTCAGGTGCAAGGTCCAGCATGGGCGCATGGTGCTAGTCCTCTTCCAGTCAACTACACATGAGGCTATTTATCATCGAAGACAATGCATTGACTATCCACGCAGGCCAGACACTCTTGATAAGCTGTGTTCAAATAGACCAGACCTATTCTCTTTAAGGAGAAACTTCTCCAAGAAAAGAAATAGGGTGCAGGCAGACACACAGACTGAGAAGGGCATTGTGAGTCAGCAGTGAAATGGTACAAAAGCATCCTTCCTAGGCTCTCCCACTCTGAATATTGCCAGGATGTTGCATAGACCAGGCCATGGGCTGTCCATGGGGGCTGCGCATTGGAGGGGAGGGCGGCGAGCCTGGTGGCAGGGAAGGGCCATTCACGCAGACAGTCAAGTCTGCTGGCCACTTGCTGGAGGGCTGGAGGGCTGGAAGTAAGTAGAGGCGGCGTTGAGGCTGGGGGACAGGAGGCGTCCACCACAGTTGAGAGATGTTTGGAGTTTGGGGAGTTGGGAGTGCCAGGGTTCGTTCCAGAAGCCTTACATGTGTGAAGGTTATTCCTCTGTTCTTTGTGTGTGCGGCAGGATGGGCAGAGAAGACGCTCGAGGTGGGAGCTTAGTGCCTCTCAAGATTGTGGGGGAAGCTGAGAGACTTCCAAGGTTTGGCAGGGCACTCCACCCCTTTCCACCTCTCCATTTCTCTTCCCAGCCAGCCTCATGCTGACCTGTGACTGCTTCCCCAATGGCAGGTGGCCATCTCCAGCTACACTCCCCTGGATTAGTCAGGGATAATTGACATTGAAAGCTTCCTCACTCCCAGTTAATCATATAGTTAATTACCTTCCTGAGGGAGTTGGAATACCGCGGTGTATTTTAGGAGTGATTTTTTGGAACTATGTTAAAGGCTGTCTCTGAAAAAAGGAGCCTGTTGACTGCATTTCCTACAATAATCTTCTACTGACTCCTCACCAACCAGAGTGTTCACTGTGGCTGAGAGAGCAATTATGCTCGTTTTCACTTTTTTTTTTCTTGAACCTGAGAGAATTGTCTCCTCTGCATCGTTGTGGAGACTCGATAAATGAGACAGATAGATGGGGGCAGGTATGAGGAGGTGACAGGAGCTGGCTGCCAAGTTACCTTTGTGATCCATCTCTGCAGAAGCCAGCGTTAATTCCGTGGAGCCTCAGCAAGACTGATATGCAGCACTGACAGTTTGGACATCTAAACATGACCTTGGATGTGCCCAAAACCATAGCTGACGCTATGCCAAGTTCCCAGTGTAGTATATCACAGGGGCTGCATCACCGTGCTGGCAGCTGGCTGCGTGCAGAGTGTCAGCATATCTGCACGTGAACATCTTTGGCCCTATAAGTGTGGTGTGGTGTGGTGAGGCCGCTTCCGTTTCAGCCAATTTCCCATAATTAGACAGTCACGAGGAAGTCCAGGACAGTCACTCGTGTTCATCAAGAGGCTGTGCAGTGCCCCTACTGTGGGCATCAGAAACAGTTATTCGAGCAGTTTAGGGGTTGTTGATCAGCATTTCCTGCACCACGGCCGGCCATTCACCTGATGTCTGGTCAAATTTCAGCTGCTGGAGGAGAAGATAACTAGGACTGCTTCTGGCTTCCCAGAACATGTTGGCTGTAAGAAAGTTCTCTCTTGTAAAGTAATGGAAAGCTGTTTCAAACAACAGTCAGTTCCTACTGCCCACTTGCTCCATTGTTTTCATTTCATCAGTAACCAGATGTCTAACTTAATGGCTTTCAAAGTGTGGTCTCTTGACCAGGTAGGGGCCCAGCAATCTGTATTTTCTCAGGGCTTCCTGGTGATTCTGATGCACAGTGAACGTAAATGTTACAGGGCCTCTTGGGAGGTCCTATAAGGACACTCAAGAACACTGAATTTGAACAAAGAAACAAAACTGGGTATGAGTCTTGATTCTGCAGCTTAATATTAGCATGATCTTAGTCAACTTAGATATTTCTAAGCCTCAGTTAATCCCATCTGTAAATTGGCAATACTAAGTGGACCCAACCAAGTTTTTGAGATGATGAAGTAGTGTATATAATAGACCTGGACAGTACCAAGCATATATGTAATATGTGTTCAATAAACAGCCGTGAATATGAATTTCACCCACTTCTCTGCTTGGATCCAAGCAAAATTTAGAGCAGGGACCGCCCTTAAAGTTATTAATATGAATAACATCCCAGGTACATTACTAGCAAAGCAAGCTGTGGAGTGTGTTGTTCTTAAGGGATTTCAGCCCACTCTGGTTCCATAGGCACATCTCAGGTGGGGTAGCCTGAGAGGAAGAGCATCAGCTCTACAAGGAAGGTAAGGAAAGGGACGACATGAGGTGCTTCTTCCGTCGGCCGCACTTCTCGCCCTCTCGTTCACCCTCAGAGTATGTTCTGGGCATTGTCATCAAAGCCAAATGGAAGTCTCGGAGTATACTCTAGACCAGTCCAAACTTCATGTGCATTCTAGTTCCCCGGAGATCTTATTAAAGTGCAGATTCCAGTTCATTATATCTGAGATGTGGCCTAAGATCTGCGTTTCTGTAAAGCTCCCAGTTGACGCTGATCAGCTGGTTTTCTCAAACCCTAATGGCCATACAATTCACTTCTAGATTTATGTTACTTAAGGAATGGTCTAGGGGCCATCAGCATTGGTGTCACTAGGGGGATTACTAAAAATGCAGAGTCTCGGGCACCACCCCAGACCTACCAAATCGGAATGTGCATTTCAGTAAGATCCCAAGGCAGTTCGTAAGCACGGTGAATTTTGAGATCCCTTCAGGGTGTGTATTTATTCACACAGGGCCCTGCACTCAGAAGGACCCTTGATTAAATGCTGTGCTCTCAGCATCTTGAATTCTTAATAATTCTTAAACAAAGGGCTCTGCATTTTCATTTTGTGCCGAGCTCCACAAATCATGTAGCTGGTCCTGGATACACTGCTCTATACCAGTGTTTGTCAAACTTTGGTGTGTCTATGACCCAAGTGGGATATTGTTAGAAATTCATATTTGTGGGTTCCCAAAGATTCTGAATCGGTGGGACAGGAGGTGAGACTAAGAATCTGTAACAAACCCTCCATGTGATTCTGATGCGGGTGGTCCGTGCCCACTGCTAGAAATGCTCCTCCACTCTTTCCCTAGTTAATTCTTCTGTCATTGCCATCCTGTGTTGTCCAGAAAACACAATAAGCAGCACAAAACTTGCCGGACACCAGAGCAAAGGTGTTTCTGGTTGAGTGGTTTTCCGTAGCTACGGGAGCTCTCAGCAAGGCTTCCCACCTGCCGCTGAGTGGCCCTGCAGTGATCGTGTGACATTTACACAAGTACAAGCAGAAAGGATGCAGGGACAGGATATCTCATCTCGAGAGGGACTGCCTGGGGAAGCTGGCGTGCTCAGCAGCAGTTCTTAGACTTTTTATGGTCACAGACCATTTTGAGAATTCAGTAGAGGCAATAGTCCCTCCCCACTGAGAAATTCACCTTTGCATCTTCTGAGGAGCACATAGGACCAGGAATTAGATGACCAGGCTGAGAGGTCTGACTCCTTCACTTGTTAGCTCTCTAATCTGGGGCAAGTTACCAGACCATTCCCACCCCTGGAGTCCTGGTCTTTAAAGTAGAGAATGAGTAAGATCATCTACCTCACAGATTTGCTGCAAGAATCAAATGAGACAGTCTGGATGTAAAAGTACTTTGTACACTGAAAAAGAATGTATAAATTTGAGGCCTCATTATACATGCCGTGCTACATTGCTATTTCCAGCATTATAGTTAGGATCAGGACACTGTGTTTGTGAATTTAGCCTAAGGCCATAGAACATACTTGGTGTGGCGAGAGAGGGAAATGAATACAGACAGATATGATGAGTACTTGGCGAGAGTAGATGGGAAATTTGAACGTATAGGAAAAGAGAAGGGAGCTTACACAATTTGGGGACTCCAGATGCAAAAATAAAAGAAAGAACATCTATTTTTACATGTGCAAACGGTTTTGAGATTTTGGAAAATGACTTTAGTCTAGCAGTAATTGAACATTTCTGCCCCTAGATATAATGAAGATAAATAGCAATGGTGGTGGTCCATATTTAGTTTGGACTTCAGAAGCCTTCTGTCGGAATTTGCTATTCTGAGATGAGAGGAATAATGTTTAGTAGTTAAAATCTGGGTCTCTGATCTAGCACATATTATCTGTGTCACTTGGGAGAATTATTTAGTCTTTCTGTTTTTCAGTTCCTTTTTACCAATAGAACTTTCCTCATAGGGTTTTCATAAGTATTGAACACCTTAGTATACCCCAAACACCCAGAGGGTAATGTGAGGGATTCTTATCATCCACATCATGGAAATTCTTGAGCAAAGGGAGGGCTGGTAGTGTTCCAAGGCCCAGCCATTCTTGGTGAGGACGATGCCTCCAGGTTGTAACTATTGACTAGTTACTACTCAATAGTCAGTAGTCCTGTGCTTAGGTGGTTGCAGAAGCCCTGGCATGCTCAGGACCCAGAAGTCTGACATAGCCAATGTTCTGAGACTGTAATGCCATAAGACCTCTGCCACCAAATTCCAGAAAGTCCCACCCATGACAAATCAAACAAAGGAAATGTATGTGGGCAGGGAGCGAAGGCAAGGCATGATAACAAGTCATCCTAGCCTTGCCCTGAAGACCTCAGTCTGATGGCTCCAATTTTCTCTCCAATCCCTTGACCATCCATCTGATCTTCCCTCCAGGTGCACAATTGACAACCGGGTCACCCGGGTGGCCTGGCTAAACCGCAGCACCATCCTCTATGCTGGGAATGACAAGTGGTGCCTGGACCCACGCGTGGTCCTTCTGAGCAACACCCAAACCCAGTACAGCATCGAGATCCAGAACGTGGATGTGTATGACGAAGGCCCATACACCTGCTCTGTGCAGACGGACAACCACCCAAAGACCTCACGAGTCCACCTCATTGTGCAAGGTAGGCAGGGCTTGAGTGGGCGGTCTGGGTGGGGAGCAGGGAGAACCTGTATTGGACACTCCTTCTGTGCTTCTCAACAGAGATGTGTTCTGTTTGTTCCATCGGACCAGGACATCTTCCTTAATGCCATTTTGCCATTCGATGCTGAATTTTCAAGTAATTTTCCCACTCAATAGAACTAGGATTTTTTCTTCTTCTTCTTTTTTTTTTCTGGGGGGCTTTTGTTCCAATAATATATTTTCTCAGAAAATTATCTTCTAATTATTGCTTTCCTTGGCTTTTTCCTCCTCTAAGTGTTTTTAGGTTCCATCCAATTCTAAGCTTGCTTTATTTTAAGACCAGCATTTTAGCTCTTCTGTCACTACACATATGCCGTACCCTCACACAGCCTTCAAGGAAAGCAGAGCTGACCACAGATGCTCCAGACACCTCCCTGGGATGCATCCTTCGCAGCCGCCTCCATTGTTCCCAGTTTGCTTGCATCTTCTCTCATCTCCCAGCCCAGTTTCTGATACCACATCTCCCCTTTAACACCTGGGTCTGATTGCCATGTTTTCGTTGCACCTCAACTCCCCTCCTCTTCCTCTGTGCTGCCCCCTGCCCCACCCGGTTTTTGAGGCCTGTGTATTTGTTTTGTTTTTGCATCTTTCCTGGTTCTGTTCTCTCTGGGTTTCTGAGGCCCTGAGAGTGGTGCTCCCTTGTTCTCCATGAAGCAGACTGGCCTGGAGCATTCAGACAACGTTTAACCCCTGTGGACAGATACCTATTAGGGAGGAAGAGCTCAGAGTCAGACTTGGCCACTTTCTGGGTGCGAGACGTTGATCAAATTATTAACTGTGCCTCGTAGTTTCCTTCTGTAAAATGGGAGTCAATGTTGTGAGGATTAAAGTTTACATGTACTAATGTGTCAGATACTTAGAAGAGGGCCTGGCACACACAAGTGCTGCTTAAGTGTTACCTACTGTTATTATTTTTAATATTGTTGTTACTTTTTAACTTTTCTCTAAAATTAAAAAAATAATTTTTTTTTTTGAGGAAGGTTAGCTCTGAGCTAACATCTGCCGCCAATCCTCCTCTTTTTGTTGAGGAAAACTGGCCCTGAGCTAACATCTGTGCCCATCTTCCTCTTCTTTATATGTGGGATACCTGCTACAGCATGGCTTGACAAGTGGTGCATAGGTCCACACCCGGGATCCAAACTGGCGAACCCCAGGCTGCCAAAGTGGATTGTGCGAACTTAACCACTACAACACCAGGCTGGCCCCAATTTTTAACTTTTTAAACATCTTTTACAGTGGACCAAATACCTCGTTTTATTGTCTCAGAAGCTTAAGCCCTGAGCGATGGAGCCCGGCTCCTGTTTGGTGTTTCTTTTCCACTGTGATTCCCAGATCCCATCGTCCAGCTAAACGGCAGGTCCAGGGCAATGGACTCCTATTCTGGAGGCTCCTTCAGCGGCCCCGCCTTGTCAGTGCCCAAGGGAAGGGCAGAGTTGTTGGCTGATTTGTCAGAGAAACAGTGGGCAGGAAGGTGGCTCAAGAAGGAAGAATGCAAATGAGGCTGGAGAATTAGGGAAGGCTACCTGGGAGATGGCTTGATGGTGGCTGGGAACTGGGAAGAGCATGGTCGGGCAAGCGACGATGATACGAGGACACACCCTGACAAGAACAGCATGGGCTCCGGCTCTGGTCAGGGTTTATGCCAGCGGGATGGTCCAGCACCTCATGCTGTGGCAAAGCTTGTTCATATCAAGTTGTTTTTATTTATTTTTTTCTTATTCTTTCTTTCCAAAAGGAAATTATGATCGCTTTTTCTTTTATTGGTTCTATAAATTAATATTTTTGAAACTGCTGGATAAAAGCAGCATTTCTTAAAAGAAATGGGATTCTATTGAAGGTATCAGAGTGTATTACAAACAGCAGAGTAGGTATTGTTAGGTGAGATTTTTGTTTCAGTGTGTGCAAGTTTTTATTGTAAAATACACTTTTAATTGTAGATAGTGCGTCAGAAAGCGTTTGAGAATCACCGTTCTAGTGAGGAGGTGTGGCGAGTGCTGTAGTGGCGTCAGCCACAGTCTCTACTAGCGGCGCTTTAGAAGCCATTCCCCGCATCCCCTCTTGCTCCATCCTCCCCTTATTCTTGAGAGCATGATATGTAGCAATAGCAAAGAGATATTAGGATCTATGCACTGTTACAAACATTTGCTTTAGGAAGCAGAACCTTTATGGAACTGGAAAATGGAAGGAAGAGTGAAAAAAGGTGAAGCTTCCTTGAAAATAAGGACTGTGTTTTTGTCATTCTTTTTTCTTAAGCCACCCGCACACACACCCCCCCCCCCCCCACACTCCGGCCCTAAGTACCTGAGAGAGTGCCTGATACAAAGTGAACATTTAATAAATGCTTATTGAAGCAAAGGCTGGAATTATAGCCCAGAGGGCTTATATAGGCTCAGCGAGAGGAGGCAGATTGTGGGGGTTGGGGGGGAGACGGGAGGCAGTGAGAGGACGGGGTCTCCATACATCTTCGCTCATGTCCCAGCTAATGGAAAATGTCTGCTCCTCAGCTCGGTGCTTACGTCTGTGATTTGGCTAGATGCCCTCTTAGCATGACATGCTACCTCAAGTATTGGAATCTCATCTTGGACTAATTTTCGAATGCTGATGGCTATATTGATCTGGAAACAAGCTGGGTTAAAAAAGGCCCTGGTCTTGTACACAGACTCAGCCCCAGCTAATCTGCTGTCAATATGCCTGGACTGAGCATTATTGACACTTTAATGAATAGAGGATCAGAATTTTTCAGAGCAAACCTGTCCCCACTCTTAAAAGCAATCAGACAAACTAAATAGAGCCACACTCCTGTTTCTGTATTGGAAAGAGGATACATCACCATCCAGGATTAAAAAAAGAAATATATTTATCTTGGGATCAGTTATTGTACTGAACATAAACACTAATTCCCCTAGCAGAAGCTGACTGTCTGGATTTTGTTGAAGTTGCTAGTCAACCCTGAGCAGAATGCTACTGGAATGAAGTTAGGCATATTAAGTGTTCAACATGGTATTATGATCATTAAACACACACACACACACACAAACACACACACACAATAGCAGCACCAGAAAAGAACTAAACTGATATTCTACCCATGAGTCTGTGTATTTACGTGTATGTGGTCAGCTTCATATATAAATATGAAGGAAAGTAATGGCATTTCCATAGAGTCATGCCAGCTGCTTGAGGTCTTGCTTATGTCTTTGCCCTTACCATCAAATACCCCTTTGACCCCGTTAGGTCTTTGTACTGGATCTTCTCTATGACTGTGTTTCAACATGTATAGGTTTTGCTGACAGCCTTGATGACACCTTTGCATCTGCCTAAGAATCAGACTCTTCAGCCCTTTGTGTGCGCACTCATTCATGCCTTCATTCATTCATGCAGTAAATCATCACTGAGAACCAGCTCTGGTTAGCAGTACCCTGGCCGAGCACTTAGCACACGAAGATGAGTAAACGGCTGCCCTTGAAGAGTTAGTTACGTTCGTGTGGCGAAGATGGAGCTGTATGACATTTACCCAAGTCATCCCCAGGAATCTGGCTTCTGAGAGTATAGCTGCTGTTGGCTGAATCCTTCCTGGGCACTGACTTGCTCCACGCTCCTGGAAATACCTGCAATGTCGGTCCTCTTACCCCCATGTTATCTGACTAGATGTTTTAATGGAATTCAGAGGTAACCTTTACAAAAGTCAGCCTGGTCCATTTATGTGGCATCCAGATTTCCCAGTGCTGCTGTACACTGGTCTGTTCTGTAACTCAAGCACAGGGTGAAGAGCTGGGGGCTTCCCTTGGCTCGTGTTTCCAGAGCTTCAGCTGTAAGCGTCATCTTCAGTCTTTCCAATCTTCAGGGCAGCCTTTCCCTGGTGGCAAGTTCTAGATGTGTGCTTTGTTCTCTAGGATATTTTAAAAATGTGGCTGATAACACTTCATATCCTTACAGTAAAAGAAAAAGGGAAATGCTCATAACCTTTTTTAATGGGTCCATCTCTTCTTTTCTCACTACCTGTTGCTGTTGGACTGTATTCTCCTTTGTTCTTTTAGAAAGATAGCTCTGGGGCTACCTAAATTCTCCTAAACCTTCCCCATGCTGCCGGGGGTGGGGATGGGGGTGGTTTCCAAAGGTCCCGGCAGGCTGTTCTAGTGATTGGAGCATGGACTGGGGCGTGTCTGTCCTGGGCTGGAGAGGAGAGTCCTTGCAGTGGGCAGTATAGGGGTGGAGGAGCAATTATGAAGTAGAGCCATAGAAAGCTCCAGGCAGAGTAAGGGTGAGTGGCCCAGAGAACTCAGCCTGCTGGGTCAAGGATGTCAGACCAGCCTACAGGAAGAAGGTGATGGTACTTCTGATTTGCATTGTCCGAGGTCAGCGTGGAGGGAGGAACAGGCTCAGGGCTGCAGACAGAGCCTAGCTCATCGTGTGAGGCACGTCTCTTAGGCAAGGCACGAACAGGGGACAACCTTGGGGAGGGGAGTGGCCCTGGAGCCAGTGTGGCAGGGAAGTGGAGGGAAAGGCAGTAGGGGCTGGAGGCAGGAAGGCGGAACGGAAGGAAAGCTGAGCTAAGTAGCTACACAGTCACTACTTGAAATTAAATTTTATTTAGCTAAAACCTACCAATGGGAGAAAATATTTGCAAATCATATATCTGACAAGGGGTTACTTTCCAAAATAGATAAAGAACTAGCACAACTCAACAACAAAAAAATCAAACAACCCCATCAAAAAATGGGCAGAAGATATGAACAGACATTTTTTCAAAGAAGATATACAGATGGCCAACAGACACGTGAAAATATGTTCAACATCAGTAATTATTAGGGAAATGCAATCAAAACCACAGTGAGATATCACCTCACACCCGTTGGAATGGCTATAATCACCAAAACAAGAAATCACAAATTTGGAGAGGATGTGGAGAAAAGGGAACCCTCATACATTGCTGGTGGGAAT